ATGGGTGTGTCAGAGGCAATGGGATTGGCACAGGATAGAGCACAGTTTAGGGCTGTTGTACATAGGGTCGCTATGAGTCGCAAACAACTCGACGGCACATAACAACAACAACAACAACAACAACAACAACAACAACGTATGCCATCCTATTTTCTTCTAGCTCACATGGTTTCCCCCGAGAAATCAGCTCTTAATCTTATTGTTTCCCCTTTGTATGTGACTCTGGTTTTTTTTTTTCGTGCTGCTTTTAGTATCTTTTAATTTGGATAATTTGACTATGCTATGTCTTAATGTTTTTCTCTTTGGGTCTAGTCTATTTGGTGTTCACTGTGCTTCCTGAATGCATATTTTCCTGTTCTTCATAACACCTGGGAAGTTTTCTTCTAGTATCTCTTCCTCAATTTTCTCAGTGACTTCACTATTCCTCTTGTGTCATGGAATTCCAATCATAGATATGTTGTTCCTTTTATCTTTTCTGATCTAAACATTTTATTAACAAAAACAAATATAAACAATAACAGAGAAAAGAATAACAATAAAGAAAAATTAAAAGTAGTAGGAAACAGGGTGGAAAAAATTCAAAGGTCCTGAGAAGACCAACATTTCAGCTTAGCTGGTCTTAGCTCCAGTTCCTTCTGAATTTTCCTTGGCTGCTGGCTTCTCATTTTTCCCATGAGATGAATGTTAATGTTTTTTCCAAAATTAATTTAGTTCTTTTCTCTTTGCCTGAAGCTGCTGTGCCAGTGTTTCAATGATCTTCTTGATCTGCTCCTTGTTGTTCGCCAAGGCAGGCAGCCCCTCATTGACAGTGCTCTCCACCAGCACTCCTCCAACCACGGACTTGCGAGTTTCATCTACCTCCTTCAGTGTGTTGATCACTAGGCTGTGTTCATTAATTCCATCTCCAACTCAGCTGGTTTGGATGCCAGGCCTCACTGTTACTGCTGAAGATGGTTAAAGCCAGATATTACCTGCTCTGCCGACACTGCCTCCTTCCCAGTGTTGCTGTCACTGCTCTTGCCAGAGTGACTGCTATTCTCTGGCATCTCCACTGTCTCATATATTGTGCCTTTTGATGTCATCACACACAATTCTAAAGTTTTCTTCACTTTTTAAAACATCTCATATCTGATATTTCTTCTAGTATTTTTCCACTGGGCTCTTATCTTCCAGCCCACAGTCTGTTTCATCTCTTCTATTCTACATTTTTGTCCTTCCAGTGTGTTGCACACTTCCAAAATTTTGGACTTAATATTCTGGTTTGTGTTTTCATGCCTTTTTGTTATTTTCAGTACTGTATTGTCTGTACCCTTTCTGTTTTGTGATGATTTTTTAAGTTCTAGTACCTCTTTATCTATACTTTTAATTTTTTTTCTTCCACCTTTAGCATTTTCTTCCCTAGTTGTTCAAATTGCTCCTCATTGATATATTTCTTCTGGTTCCCTGTCTCTGGAGTATTAGCTTTCTTAATGGCTTCCATTATTTCTTCCATCAATGGCTTATGCACAGCAGAAACTGAGGAGGGGGTGTAGGACTGGACAGAATTTTTTTCTGTAGTACTATGAGTCACTATGAGTCTGAGGCAAATTTATGATATCGAATACCAACAGCAATAGTTTAAAAGGGAATTTGTGAAGTCATGAAAAGTTATATACTATGGGCATACAGTTAGCTGATTATATATTTTCTTTTTTATTTTATACTCTAGTTATTATCATTATTATTAATATTTTCAGGGGTTTTTTTTCCTGCATCCAATGCCTATTCCACAATCCTAAACTCATTAGGGAACTACTCTTTTTTATCCCCACATAATTTCTAGATAGATTGTTTTGGAAAAACTCAGGACAAGTGCTTCCTCCATTGGATACTATGCCTGAATTTACAAAATAAGAACCTTAATCAGGTTCCTTAGGAAATCAACCAACCTTGTGCTAAATTCCTTCAGAGTTGTGCTCCTTGACTATTAAAATGCATAGTGACTCTTCATAGGTATTGTCAGACTTTGTTTCCAAGGTTAAATATGTTGTTGTTCTTGATTGTTGTTGATTGCCTTTGAGTCGATCATGACTCATAGCAACTCTATGAACAAAAGGCCTGAAGCCCCTCTACAACTATTAACATTTATCAAAGTTCATAGTGTTTCCAGAGGCATTTTATTTACGAAGTGGATAATACTCTTGCTTCTAAAGGTTAAATATAGGAGTTTAAAAATCTCACCTTCCATACTTTGACATCCAAAATTAAGATAACTCCTGTCAAGTATACTAAACACCATAAGCAAATCAAATCTCTATGCTTTCTATCAGTGACAGTGGTGAGTCAAAGGAGGGGTGTCAGCTTGCTCTCTGCAGTTTGCTCTCCTACTGGGGAAGTCCTTTTATGGGTCACTGCTGTGGCTGCTCTGCAGCAGGGTTCTCACTGGAAACACTGACAGGTCAGGGCTGAGATGTGAAAAATCAGAATGCACTTAAATAAGTTACACTGTTGGTTTTTCTAAATAAAATCTATGGATTCCACGGCCTCCATTTCCCAAAGGTCTCCACTCTCACACACCTGATTTTCCTCGATTGCATTCCTTCTCCACATCGCAGGGAGTGCAGCTCGTTGTTGATTTTGCATGGAGACCAGTGTTCTACAACCCAGGAATACTGATTGCACTCGCTGTAGCATGGGACTGCCTCATGCACCTGTCAAAAACAGGAAAGGGAAAAAATTATGTGGAACTATCCGGCCTGTAGAAAAACAGCATATCTTCTAGTATTGCCTGCTGAACATAAACTGAGAAACTATATTCAGGTCCAAACGTCAAATTACACTCCCCAAAGGCCGGATACATTTGGCTTTTCTGAATTTACTGACTTGCCTAAAGAAGCATACAGGGGAAATCAACTAAAATATGATGGTATGATTTCAAAGAAGAGAACAAAAGACAGTAATTTCTAGAACTGAGAATAGGAATTCCATTATAATTTCATTTCCTCAAAGAGCCCACATAGCATCTATTAAGTGGTCCGGCTTTCAATTATATGGTGCATTGTATTCTCAGATGTGCTTTAAGATGTGAACTGAAACAAATATATATAAGGTAAATTTACTCTTAAATATAAGGGGTTGTTAGAATGCATAAGAAAAGTGGTATTATTTGCACCGGAAATTTCTTTTTATGCCCTCCAATGATCAATGCTAACAGGTAATCATTTGGTCTCTTGAGTATTGTTGTTTCATACAAATTTAGCTACTTATAAGATGTTTCTAGAGCAGCTTTAAAGGACATGCACCCATTCATACTTGCACACACACACACACACACACACACACACGACAAAGACTGATAAACCATTAGTGACCTGTATGATTACTAACTTGGTAACTTAAATTTTATAGTAAAAACATTGAGCACAGTAGAGAAATTCTTAAGATACACTGTAGTCATTTATGGAAAATTTCCCTGAACTTGTACTCCACTGAGCAGTCAAGAGGGGCTGTCTGCCTTTTTTTTTTAGGCTGCATTTTTGATGCAACTTGGAGCATAGTACTTCCCTTCTATAAGATAAACAGTTCCATTGTCTGGTAGGCCATAATAGATTGCTGTACTTTTTACCAAATTAACCAATTAATGCTTTTCTTTCTTTTGAAATAAGAATCTAAGCCCCGTCTTGTCCCCTCTTGGGTTTCCAATCACACACAATTGCACGTGATGCCTGGGTAGTACTACTGTCCAAACGGTAACGTTACATGAAGGCTTCTACTCAGAGCAAGGGAAAGCAGTATGTAATGGGATAATCAGAAAACAAGATTGGAGCACTGTCATCATGTTAGGTGGAAATCAAATGATAAAAAGTTATTTGTGAGACTACATCTTCAGAATCACAAGTAATGCCAGAAACTATTTTAAACTGTGGGGTTCTATTTGGCTGTCTCATGTAGAGTGCACAAGGATAAGAGAAACCACAAAGTAAAAAATATGTGAGGGCAAAATGAAAGAAGACGGGAAAATAGAGGTGGAAATGGGTGTGAGGAAAGTAAGGAATTAAGTAATAAAAGAATCACATGTCATGCTGTGAAGGCTGACAAGAACTGAATGAAAAGGGTCAGAAGTCAGTGCCTACATTAGAATAAGGAGGTGATGACTTGTAAGTGAGAAAAGTCTGCCCAGGAGCCTTATAAGATTCTAAAAGGAAGAGAAAAATTTATTAAAAAAATGAATAACATCAACTGAACACATAACAGGAAACTGGGTTGAGGACAGCTAAGGATTTAGTTGACTAGGCTTCACTGTGAAAATAAAACATCCACAGAATTTTTTGGGATAGTCTATAAACTTATCTATATGTATGAGACAATATAAATAAAGCATTTGGGATTTTACATAGAACACAGGAAACCCACTGCACAAATATGGGAATGGATGGAATATGCATCTAATTTTTCCCCATGTGTCATGCATCTATCTGAGAGCAAACGGATAAAAAAAAGTGTCTGAGATCAATTTATTTTTCATTCTGTTGTACTGTGATGACTTGTGTGTTGCTATGATGTTGGAACCTATGCCACTATTAGCAACATTAGCAAGCACATCCAGGAGAGCTCTAGGAGAGCTTTAGGCTACCACAGACAAGGGAGAAGGGTCTACTTTGGAAAATCAGCAGTGAAACACTATGACACAGGAGAATCCTAGATCACAACAGAATGGTATGAGAAACAATACTGAAAGGTAAGAAGGCACTCAGAAAACACAGTGGCTGCAGGAGTGGACTCTCGTATACCACAAACCATAAAAATGGAAAAGAACTGGACAAAGTTTCACTGGATCATACCCAGAGTTGTCAGAAGCCAGATCTGACTCCAGGCCAGCTACCAATAATAAACAATAAACTAATCAGAGTTTACAGTTCCATCCTGTCTACCTCTCATACAAAGCCAAATAGGAAATGAAAAGCTCTTTGTGTTTTCCTTTGATGCAGGTACTGAACCAGCTTTTCAGATATTTGTTTAATTTTGTATTCTTTGTTGTTGTTAGTTGCCATTGAGTCAACTATCACTTACAGTCACCCTATGAACAATGGATGTTAACCATGTCCCACCCTATGCAATCTTCATCGCCTCTGATATACTCATTAGACCTTCATTGCAGTCACTGTGTCAATCGATATTGCTCAGGGTCCCTCACACATTTTCTGAATCTCGATCATTCCAAGCATGATGTCTTTTTCCAAGGACTGGACCCTCCTAACAACATAACAAAAGAAAGTAAGATAAAGTTTCACCATCCCAGCCTCAAAGGATCACCCTGGTTGCACTTCTCCTAAGACATATTTGGTCTTTTGGCAATTGGTGGGATATTAAATACTCTTCTCCGACACTCCAATTGCAAGATATCGATTCTTCTTCTGTCATACATTAATTGTTCAACTTCCTAATGAATAACAAGCAACAGAGAAGACCATGGTTTGAATCAGGTGCATGTTAGTCTTTAAACTGACATCCCTCTACTCACTAGCACTTTGAAGAGGTCTTTGATTGCAGATCTTCCCAATGTAACACATCATTTAATTTTCTGATTAATATCAAGGGTGTTGATTGTGGGTAGAAATAAGATAAAATCATTGGCGAGTTAGAACTGTTATTTTTCACACCACTTATCAAGAATATTGGTCAACAATTTTCTGCAAAGTTTAGCTCCCTATCTTCCACCGGCTTGCCATCAAAGGTGATTACTTTGCTATAGATGTAGATTGTATTCTTTGGGTCCCAGAAATCTGCATCTAAAGCATAGTAATAAACATCAATGGTAAGCTGGAGAAAGACAGGGAGCAAAAATTGCCAAAAAATAATTAATGGTATGAAAAATAACTTTTAGCTCCCTAGTCACATGGAATTACTTGATTTTTCTCCTCTCTGACTGCTGTCTTGCATATGCTTATGCTGATCTTTTTAGAATACAGTTTCCCATCCTCCCTAAGTCCACGTGAATCCTACCATCTCCACAAAACTTCTTATGATCTAAGTTGAAATTTCTTTGACAGTCCAGAACACAGTTCCAGTTTTAGGTAGCTCACTCATAATACTAGGACTGGAGCAGTTAAGGTGGTGAGAAGTGCTGGGGCACAGAGTCTAAATGTCCTCTGATTCTTTTTCTAAGTATCTTAATTCTCTGACACCACACTGTCTTTTTCTCACCAAAGTCTTAATTACCATGTCTACTTTATACCTTAAGAATACTGACATGATATGCTAACACTTTGCACTTTCCACATCTAGATATGCTTCTGGCATTACAGCAGTCAAACTTGGCTCTTTGGTCTTTATAAAACCAAAACCAAACACAAACTTTTATTAGGCAAGCTGGTACTACATTTGGATGATGTCTGTAATTCATAAGACATTAGGGTATTTGTTGAACCGAAATTCCTTTTTGAGAGGATGTAGACTTAAATGATTCACATTTATTTCTTTAAAGAAGTCCACTCAATAGGATGTGTAAGGGGCATTTTACAAAGTACAAAGGAACAAAAAGGAAAACCTTTCCCTTCTATTATGGGGACTGAGTGGAGAATAAAAATCACTGTATCCTCCAGAGGCGCTGCCTGATGATTGTGTTATGGGAAGGAAAGGCTGTTCTCCCTTAAGAGTTATGAAAATTGCCTCCATATAACCCATTGGTGACCAGGCAAGGGCTCTTACCCACAAGGATCAAAAAACACCTGCAACAGGCAAACAGGCAGCAGGCCACTCAAGGCTAAAAAGTGCCCAATTTTGTCTCCTGTCAATCCTTTATGTTCTGGCTATTTCATATTGCTATTTAGTAGGTGTTTATGATAGTTTTATAAGAGAAATGTGTTAAAGCACAGATTTTACCAAGGAATCATTTGAAAATGTACTACAGGAGAGAAACAAACCTTGGAAAAGTTAAATGAAAATCATTTCTAAACGGCTAAAATTAGGAAGAAAATAATGAGACTTAATATGGCTACAGATGCTAACAGATTCCACAGAAAAATCTAAATATTCTGAGTGAGGTAGAATTTCACTCCCCTTTGGGAAGAATATTAAATGATCCAGGAAGTATTAAAAGAAGATGGAAGGAATATACTGAGTCATTATATAGAAAGGAATTGGCAGATACAGAGGAATTTAAAGAAATAACACATGAGCAAGAGCCTATGGTGATGAAGGAAGAAGTTCAAGCTGCTTTGAAGGAAATAGCAAAAAATAAGGCCCCAGGAATAGATGGTATACCAATTGAAGTACTTCAGATAACAGATGTTGCCCTGGATGTGCCCACCAAGTTGTGCCAAGAAATCTGGAGAACAACCACTTGGCCAACTGACTGGAAGAGATCCATATTTGTTCCCATTCCAAAGAAAGGTGACCCAACTGAGTGTGGAAACTACAGAACAGTGTCATTGATTTCACATGCAAGCAAGATTCTTCTGAAGATTATTCAAAAACGACTAGAACAGCACATCAGCAGAGAACTGCAGGAAGTCCAGGCTGGGTTTTGAAGGGGTCGTGGTACTAGGGATATTGTTGCTGATGTTAGATGGATCTTGGCTGAAAGCAGAGAGTACCAGAAGAATGTCTATCTCTGTTTCATTGATTATGCAAAGGCATTTGACTGTGTGGATCATAACAAACTGTGGCTGACTCTGAGAAGAATGGGAATCCCAGAACATTTAATTGTGCTAATGCAAAACCTATACTTGGACCAAGAGGCAGTAGTCAGAACAGAGCAGGGTAACACTGCATGGTTCAAAATTGGGAAGGGTGTACGCCAGTGATCCATCCTTCTCCATACCTTTTCAACATATATGCAGAGCAGAATTATCTGAGAGGCTGGGCTCTATAAGGAGAATTGTGGCATCAGGATTGGTGGAAGATCTATTAACAATCTGTATTATGCAGATGACACAACCCTGCTTGCTGAAACTGAGGAGGACCTCATGTATTTGCTGTGAAGGGTCAAGGACTGCAGCCTTCAGTATGGACTGAGGCTCAATGTCAAGAAGACAAAGATTCTCACCACTGGACCAATTGGCAGCGTCAGGATGGATGACGAAGAGATTGAGAGTGTTCACAGCTTCAGTTTGCTCGGCTCCACAGTCAACACTCTTGGCACCAGCAGTCAGGAAATCAAAAAGCGTATCGCGATGGGAAAGTATGCTGGTAGGGACCTCTCTAAAGTACTCAGGAGCAACAGTGTCTCTCTAGAGACTAAGGTGCGTCTGATACAGGCCATGGTATTTGCAATCGCTTGTTATGCATCAGAGAGTTGGACAATGACTAGGTAGGACAGAAGGAGAGTGGATGCTTTTGAGCTGTGGTGCTGGAGAAGGGTACTGAATGCACCATGAACTGCCAGGAAAACAAACAGATTCAACTTGGAGAGGATTAAACCAAGCTACTCCTTTGAGGCGAGGATTCTGGGGCTTCGTCTGATATACTTTGGACATGTTGCCAGGAGGGACGGGTCCTTGGAGAGGGACATCATGCTTGGGAGGGTGGAGGGACAGTGCAGGAGGGGAAGACCCTCAATGAGATGGATTGATTCGGTGACTGTGGTAATCGGGATGGGTGTGTCAGAGGCGGTGCGGTTCGCGCAGGATAGAGCAGGGTTTAGGGCTGTTGTGCATAGGGTCGCTATGAGTCGCAAACGACTCGACGGCACATAACAACAACAACAACAACAGTAATGACTACTATATGTTACTTCTTTCATGGAGAGATATTTTTTAATAGCTTTCTCATCCTGAGTCAGGTCATGACCCATTCATTGAATCAATCTTTTAATACTTATCAAGTAAACCTTCAATCATTGTATCTGATAACACTGAATTACATTCTGTTTTGTAATACCACTTTCTCAGTTACAGAATTAGTTCCCTGGTATAAGCAGGGCTTCTCTAGGGTTCAGTGGATGCCATTATGACATATCTGAGCCTAAATGAACCACCAAACCCCTAAAAGTGTTTACAAATAACAAGCCAAGCAAAATTCAGAGCTTTTGATTTTCTGAGGTAAT